TGCCGTAGGATGGAATTCTGGAGGAGGGATTTCCTGTTGGTGTAGTGTGTCCTGGGAGAAGGCCGCATGCGTGGCATTCACGGGAGTTTTGGAAATAAAGTTTGTTCCTGCTTGATTTTGTGCCCAGCCAGACTGCGGCATAAGCTAAAATTTTCCAGGCACAGTGGTGCATGCCTGTAATTGCAGTTACTCAGGAGACAGAGGAAAGAAGATCACAAGTTCGAGGCCAGTTTTGACAACTTAAGCAAAAACCTATGCCTCAAAATAAAAAATAAAAAGGGCTAGGATGTTGCTCAAGGGCTAGGATGTTGCTCAGTGGTAGAGTGACCCTGGATTCAATCTCTGGTACCATAAAAATTTTTTTTAATTTTAAATTAAGCTGAAATCTGCCACCCTACAGCTTGGATCCATTGGACCTTGTTTTTTTTTTCTTCTGTAAATATAAAAAACAAGTTTTTGTAGATGCTAGAGCCATTCAAATAATTCTAGGTGGTCTCAATTCTCCCTAGATCCCCTTTCTCAGCTAAACATCTGAATTCTTTCAATTATTCCTCAATGACATGATTCTAACTTTTCTCACTATATAATCTCWAGTACATTCCCAATGCATAATATATCCCTCCCAAATTTGTATCTTACTTTTTATAAATTCTGGACACTTTCCAGAAGAGAGGAACTATCACTTATCTAATCACCTCATCTGCTAAGAACGTTCATTGTAGTTGTATTACTTCAAGACATCTAAAATTATATTAGTCAGGGATGGGGACAAGAGACAGGATTATCATATACTGACTCATCAAAATCAGTTTGTAACTAGAATAAATAAAACTTTGTGTGTTCTACACTATTTCCTATCTTATTCAACTCTACTAGCAAGGTTTGGGAGTCTATTTGCAGAACGACCATCAATTTTTTTCATTAGATTCAGATTTATTGGTTTTCAGCCCACATACCATTCTTATTACCACCTCATTAGACCACCCAGTTTTGAGTCAACCCCAAGAAAGAGTAAAAAAAAAAAAAAAAGAAAGAAAGAAATAACAATACCAATGGTGCAGAGAAGTGTGTTGCTGAGTGTTCCACAAGRTGACATCACTCTGATTTCAGAGTAGATACCCTTGCCTTTCGCCCAGCTTATGCAGTTGATTTACCAAAGGTCTGGTTGGTAAGTCCTTTGAATTCATCCACTCCCTTCTAATCCCACTGTCACTGCTAGAGTTGWTAACTCATTGTGTCTGACCCCTACCATTTATCACCGCTACATATCTTTGACTCTCTGTTCTCTAATCCACTTTCTATACTGCCTCTTGAATTTCTGAAACACAGCTTTTAATGTGCCACTTTTCTTGTTTAAAATCTTTAATGGCTCTTGTTATAAAATAAGAATTCATATTACTTGGCATGACTTAMACGTCCTCCCACATAGGGTCTATAGGTGGTTCCTCTCCCCTTGCTTTCTCTCTCCCTCATCTCTTGCTAGCTTCTCAAAGGTTTTAAAAAAATGAGCCATTGTTGCGCATCTGTAATCACAACTAACTGGGAGGCTGAGGCAGGAGGATTTGCAAGTTTGAGGATAGTYTCAGCAATTCAGTAGAATCCTGTATTAAAATTTGAAAAAATAAAAGGGTGGGGATGTAGTTTGATSCCCCAGTACCGCAAAAGAATAAATAAAATAAAATATGAAGTGAAAAATGCTAGTGCATAAAGGAAATATGGCAAAATAGTCCYATAGACTACATATATAAATTCCAGTATTTAGTAGATGTCACCATGGCTTAAATATTTATGCACTCAAWTTTAGTAGGTGTTTTAATAAAAACGAAAAAAGGAAGAAGGGAGAATAGAAAGGATAAAATATGGTGGAACATAAGTTTCAGTCAGTAGGCACCCAGAACAACTCATGACTGAACACACTGCTACTATGTCTTTTTGTATTTATTCAGCAAGTGTCTGTGGTGCACCTACCATTTGCTAGGCTGGTGCTAAGCACTTAGCCTGCATTWTCCCTATTTATAACAAGAAGCCCATGAGGTAAGCATTACCATCTTTCTCTATACAGAGGCGAAAAGTGAAGGGCAGAGGGGTCAATTTGCCAAGTATCACACACAGATGTGTATGGGGAGAGATRACTTTGCTTGGACCCCAGAGTCCTTACATTTCACCAGATTCGATGCTTCTGGCTTAGCCTAGTCTAACCCTTACTGCTGTAGCCTGCTAGGCTTCCTCATGGCCAGATTGCAAGCTCCTTCCAGGCAGGATMGGTGCCCACGGGGAGTCTAATGTTTGTTGATCTACCGTAGGAAGGACGAAGGAACGTGTTTCAGCAAAACCTGGAAAACACTTGTTCAGCGTAAAAGCAGTCCAAGTGGGACTTGGACTTCTGCATTGCAGATCGCTAAGTAATTTTAGGGAAAAGTCCTGGGAGCAGCCAGGCTGCTGAAGTACAAACTTACCACCCGAGGTCCCCACCGCTGCCGCTGCTTTCTCGCTTGCACCCACACAAGGCCTTCGTTTACCGTGGTTACTATGGCAACGCCCCCGCCCCGCCTCTGGCTGACCTAAAGGTGCATGCGCTGTCCAGTGACAGGCTTAGGGCGAGTTTCCGCGCGCTGCTGTGGGCAGCCCAGTTCAGTGAAGTGTTTTTCGCCGCAGGTTGGCTCAAAGCAAGACAGATAAGCCCGGCATTCTACCAATTAACTCCTAAAGGGTGTCATGTTGACCAATAACATTTGAAACGTTCGAAATGTTTCAATGAAATTTTGGAATAGGAACCCCTATTCCAAAATGGCCTAAAGGGGCCTCGATTGAACAGCGGTCTGTGTTGGTTAGTTTTAATTTCGAATTTAAGGGTCCTAGACAATTATTATTTACCAATTAAAAATAAACGTGTAAAGGCAGGGCGGGGAGTTCCTAGAACGACGGAAGGCGGTTTGCCCGCAGCATCAACAGCAGAGATAAATCCCAGGGGCAGGTGAGAGTGTGTGCCTGTGTGTTTTGTTTTTAAACCCTACTTGTATTATCTCTATGGGCTATTTAAAGGAGTGAATAAGATCTTATGTTTTGGGCTCCTAATTCAGGGTGATGGAAACTAAGCATATAGGCTCAACTCACTGGTGTCATTTGGTATTTTWAAAATGCTTCCCAAATTGAGAACAATGGCTTTTCAGGTTTAAAAYAAGTGCTAATCAGTTGGAAAACATTAAGGGAAATCCATATCAAAAGAATGCATTCATAATGAAGTCATCAAGAACACAAATAATAATAAATGCTGGAGAGGATGTGGAGGGAAAAAAACACTTTTATACTGTTGGTGGGATTGTAAATTGGCACAACCACCATGGAAATCAGTTCCTCAAAAGAATGGTCAYGGAACTACCAAATGACTCAGCTATCCATGCTCCTTAGTATTTATCCTAAAGAAATAAATAGTCATCAATCATACTATTGTAATAGATGCAYACCTATGTTTATAGCAGCACAATTCACAATAGCCAAACTATGGAACCAGCCTAAGTATCCACCAACAGATGAATTGATAAAGTAAATGTGACAATATATACACGATATATATACAAGTTTTATTCAGCCCTAAAAAAAATGAAATTATGTCATTTAGAGGAAAATGGATGACAAGTATGTTGAGTGACAAGTATGTTTTTCTCTCATATGTGGAAGTAATAGAGGAAAAAGGAAAAGGAAGGTGGGTGGGGGGCAGGGATCTCATGAAAAGTGAATGGGAGATCAGTAGAGGAAAAGAATCAGGGGGTGAGAGGTAGGGAGGGAGGGGAGAAGTACTGGGAAATGTTTGGCCAAATTGTATTATATTTYGTGCATATATGAATATTTACAACAAATACCATCATTATGCATAACAAAAATATACCAATAAACATATTTTTAAAAAGAATATATTCATGAAGCAAGCAGATAACATTTTGATAAARAGTAACACTAAAATGGCTTATGTCACTGACAGGTATATAATTAATTACCGAGTTTCAAAATGTGCAAATGATGGAATAATCTGCAAGAATGCAAACGAATACAGATGACATCACATAAATAAATCCATAGTGCTTCAGAAAATAATTTTATTTTTGCCATAACAATAAAAAGGTCCAGGTAAAAAGTTGCATGGGGCAATTCCTAGGACAGAGATTTACAATTCAGAGGGCAGAAAGGTGTTGTCAGAGAAAATTCCTCTGGTAGTTTCAATGTGCTGCCCTTCCCAGGTCCCACTTCACTCAAGTTGAAAACAGAAACCAATATTTGAGAACCAAACAGGTGCCTGAAAGAAAAACCTATTCTGAATGAATCTGCTTGGATTCTGGGGTAAGAAAATTARTGACAAGTGTTTTTATTTAATTCTGTTTCAAACACTAAATAGACCATTGAACCAATGTTTCTACCTTTAGACATTTGAGCTCTATGATCATTATTTATTTTATGTACATTATCATTATTGATTTTTCACCTTTAAAARTTAAATAAGAATTTTATAATATATACATCCAGTCTTACCTGCTTAAGCAAATACAAACACTTTCATACCTATTTTTTTTAATTCTGTTTTTTWAAAWTTTTTGTGGTGCTGGGGATCAAACCCAGGGTTTCACACATGCTAGGCAAGCACTCTACCACTGAGCCACATCCTCAGCCTTCCYATACYTATTTTAAAAAGCTGCCTATTCCAYTTGTAAAAGGTGATAGACAGCAATATATTCCCACCAAAAAAGAAACCACTTTTACATTTACATTTTTACATTTACATTTTTCTCAATGCCAGATTCTAATAGAAGCATCTTATTGTATGTTACATGCAAAGCAACTAATTTCTTCAAGAAAAAGAAAAATGAAATATATCAACATTTAAGCTGCAGTAAGCAACAACAAAATCTGATTCAAGATGACAGTACTAGGTAAAAATGAATTGCTTAAAAAAACAAAAACCTTAAAGTACTTAAGAAGTTATTAGAAAATAAAACTTTAATTTCCCTACAATCAAAATTTTATTCACAGGGAATTATACATTAGCTGGCTGTTGAAAATCTATTTGAAAAGCTAAAAAATTAAAATAAATTTTTTTCTGTTGTATTAGTATTAATTCACAGGATCTCTGTAGGTTTTATCTGAAGAAGTACATAAAAACTTRAAAGCAGGAGCAGGGAAAGGACTGTGGAAGGCCAAGAATAAATTACTGAGTACAAACTCCGTAAAATGCAATTTCAACCTCACTTATGACACATGAGTAGAAAGAGCAAACCAGCCTTCTTCATTTTGTTTCTCAATCTGTTGAACAAAGATACAGAAAAGATTTAGAARGTAACCAGAAACATGAGACAAYTCAAGATATACAGATCATTTAGAACAAGTATATACAACAAAGTCATCCTGTTACATTAAATGGTACTAGAAATTAAATTATTATTGGCAATTTTTATTCACCACCAAATAACTGACCACTGATCAACAGATTTAAGAGTCCTCATTTTAAGAGTCCTCATTTTTTAAAAAATAAGAAGTATTTTTTTTAAGTTGTAGATGGACATGATACCTTTATTTTATTTATTTTTYATGTGGTGCTGAGGATTGAACCCAGTGCCTCACACATAGAGTGAGCAAGCGCTCTACCACTGCGTTACAACCCCAGCCCCAAGAGTTCTCATTTTTAAAAAAGGATTAAGTCTAATATTTTATGTGACTCTTGGTTATAATTTTAATTATTTTTTTAAAAGTTATTTCATCTTAGTAAATTAAGTGTTACTAAGTTCCAGAAACTAATAAGAATAAATTACATAAAATAGCTAATTTTAAAACTTTTTWAGAATATAATAGAAAAAGACAAAAATTTTAGTGCTAGGCAACTGTGGTAGCTAAGCCTATCAATCAATGTGGGGGCTGTAAGCATCCATTCTTTGTTCTGATTACTGAAGTTAATAATAACAAAGATTCCCCCCATAGACAGTTGTTGGYTCAAGTCAGCAAAAGTCATTTTTATAATTTTAAAGACTACCTCATAATTTTCTATGACTAAAYACTGAAAGGAACTATATTTTACTGCATTATCAACACAGGAAAAATAAAAACATCTTTTGTAAAAATTCAAGCTTCTAAACATTCCTGTAGTAAACTGAAACATGAAGACTACATAAAACATTTATTTATCTTTTGAACCATAACCTGTTTAACTAAGATCACACTCAGATATGGCTCGTTAAATGCCTGAACCAGGTCTCTGTTATACCATATTCTACCTAGACAGAGGAACAACTGGGGAACCAATATTCTGGTGTACCCACAACCCATTCAAGGCACACCTGGATGTCCTTCTACAATATTTGGGAAGCTCTATCTGAAACCAGTAATATCCAGTCTTTAAGGACTGTTGAAATCYTATTGAATTTTATCTTATTCCTTAGTTACCCTGGAAAGCAAAACAAATATATGGTTTGTTGTTTTTCTAATAAAGGTGAATTATAGAATTTCTTCTGAGAATTTATATCAWCTTTAGGATAACAGAAATGACAACWAAGATTGGAAAACAGCAAATTAGTCATCTTCTACCCTCACTCTTGATCCCTACATGTMTTTTACAAAGACATTTTATAATTTACCTTTGTTTTTGGAAGAACAGGTGTGAATCGCCCACTTCCTGAGGTGGCATTTAAAGGAGAACAAGAGTTACTAGTTGCCCCTGAAGATCTATTTATGAAAAATAAAGTGACAGAGAGTGAGATATTATTAATAAACTTAATAAATTATGAAAACAATAACAATTCTCAATCCTGACAAAAACTTGGAAAAAAATGAATAACTTAGATTCAAATAAGGTAAGTTATTTATAACATAATATCACCAACATATAACTCCTTTTTTCCTTAACTAATGGAGTTTATTTTTTTACAGCAGCTTTAGGTTTACAAAAAGATTGAGTGGAAAATACAAAGCTGCCAAGTACCACCCTCACCCCACTTCCAACAAACACAGTTTCCTCTATTATTAGCATGTAGCATTAATGTGGCACATCTATTGTTACAACTGATATTGATAAGCTATTATTAACTAAAATCCATAATTTACATGAGGTTTTACTATTTGTATAGTGCATTCTGTGGATTTTGACAACTGTATAATGACATGTATCTGCCATTACAATAACATACAAATAAGTTTTTAACACTAAAGATGAAAAATTGTTGTGCAGTGGAGGGGAAGAAGGTCAAMACACTCAAGAGCAATGAGAACAGAAGCAGTACAGTACAATAGTGAAGATGTGGAGTAGAGACAGAAAACTTTCTGTGTCACCAATTACCAACCATGTGGACCATCTAGGCAACCCACCCAATTAGCTCTGTGAGATTCAGTTTCACCTACTATAAAGGAGGAAGATGCTACTGTTTAATTTAACCACCCTGTCATATATTACCTTCATATATACCTYCTAAATCATAACTCATAAATACTCTACACATGTGTAAGCCCATGTTTGTTTTCAGTAGCCAACCCATGATTTTCTACTTAATTAAAAATTTATTCCTCATTCATTTTATTGCCCCCAAATTCTCTTTAGTTACTTTATTTGCTCTACATGAGTGAGTCTGAACTTAAGCCACATATTATACACATCCTTTTCTCACAAAGAGAATAAAACACAAACCACATTCTT